GAGGGAGAGGAGCGATTGAGAGGGAGAGGAGCGATTGAGAGGGAGAGGAGCGATTGAGAGGGAGAGCGTGGGATAGAAAGAGTAAATGAGTAAACTTGTGAAAACGCGTTTTCCACGCCCCCCACTCCCCGTACATGAACTCCCCCGTGACCCGGCGCTGCGCTTCGCAGGAGAAGTACGACAACAACTGGTGGATCGGCCGCCTGGTGAAGGAAGGCAGCGACGTCGGCTTCATCCCGTCGCCGGTGAAGCTGGAGAACCTGCGGCTGCAGCAGCAGCAAGCGCGCAACTCCAAGCTCTACGCCAGCAAGACCTCCTCGTCGTCCAACCTAGGTGCGATTGTCAACGATGTGCTGTCCACATCTAAGAGTGCCAACTCGCGAGGCTCCACCCCTCCAACCCCTGGTACGTGCGGTCTGCGCGACGACACGCCACACGAGACACGATGTGTGCTTTGTCTCTTTCGTCTCTTTGTGCTTTTGGTTTCGACGACTCTTTCCGTTGCGACTCAACCCGACGCGAGAGTTCGGAGGCGAGGAGAGCTTCGTCGACGGAGTTTTGGCGACTTGGGTCAGATTAGGTCGACCGACGGGAGAACTAGCAGATCGCTTTGTAAAAGGAAACAAAAGGTGCTCATTGGACTTATTCAGGTCACTATAGATAAGTAAACGGAAATTATTATTTTTGTTTTTTCAAAATATTTTGAAAAAGTACATTGGGAGAAGCGAGTAGATTATTCATTCACTTCCTGCAGTTTCACAACTAATAATCAGGAAAAATAGGAGAGAGTAAAAAAAATTGCTTCAGTTGCAAAGTTTATTGTAACAGATTTCTTAGCAGTTAATGTGTCCGTTTTTGCTTTCCAAAATGAGTGTATTTATTTTCACGTAAAACATGCCTTTATAAATTACGTTAATCAAAAATAGCATTCAATCGTTTTGGGTGTTTGCTTATCGCAATGTTCCTTTACTACATCTAATAGTACATATTAGAAGGTGGATATTTTGAATTACCTACGGTTATTTTTATTTTTAAAATATTATTTCAAATGTTGAAACTAGTTTTTTTATACTTCATCAACTTCACTGGAATGTTTTAACATTGTTGTTATCTATGTAAATATCGTGAGGAAATTTCAGAAATATTTTATTAAATTGTTATTGAAAATATCTCGTTAATTTTTTTTACATTATCATAGAGGATATATGAATAAAAAGACTTGTAAATGAAAAAAAAAGGAAAAATATTTTCGGGATACCAAGTCGCCAGAAACTCAACTACACATGACACACTGACTAACAGTCCGTAACGCCATCTCTCCTCATAATCTCGCGTGTTGCCCTTGACTAAAAGGAATGATGTTACACCACACTCAATATGCATTGCCCAGGTTCATAAAAAGGAGCGATTTATTTACCCTTTGGTGTGTGAATACTAGGATGGTCTTAATTTTTTCAAGGCTTAATCTTTTTCAAACCCTCCCATATGTTAAGTATAAAAAAAGGAGTACACAATTTAAAAGCAGTTAAACAATATTAATCCGTGTTAACTAAACCCTTTTAGATATTTAGAATACTTCCTATATTCCTTTTTTTAATAAAAGCAAGGATATTTTTAATCTTAATAAAAAAATTTTTAAATTTTATTCATTTTTTTTAAATTTATATATTTAAGTTTTACGAAGTGTTGAATGCATACATGATTTTTTCATACGATAGTATTATGTGTAGACAATTCCTAGTTTTAGAAATATTCAATTATTCAGATTTGAAAATAATTTTCGTTAATCCACTTAGAGACCACTAATTGATTTAAATCCAAACTAATAATAAATCACTGATTACAGTTATAATATTTTCTTTACAGTGATATTGAAATAACAGAGTGACAGGGACGACGCTTACATATGGCATAACGGCTTTTCATTTTATGAAGTGGAGACTATGTGTTTTTCTAAGATTTTTTAAAAATTTTTTTGAATGCCTCACATTGAGCAACAATTAAGATTTTTTCCTGTCTAAATAGTTCATATAATAGGTGCTGTGAATTTAAAAATGTTTCCCATTGATAAGACAACTATTTGAAAATAACTGTCAAAAATCCTACTTTTGACGATCTTTTTTTGTTAAAAGAACGAATATCATGAATAAAATAATCTCAATTGTTGACAGAGACGTATTAATGCACATAAACATAATGTCCCAAGCAGTTGTAACATAAAACAGGAATCCAAAACTTATAATAATACTAATAACACTAATAATAATAATAATAATAATAATAATAATAATGATAATTATGATAATGATAATAATGATGATAATGATGATAATGATGATAATGATGATAATGATGATAATGATAATGATGATAATGGTGATAATGATAATACTGATAATAATGATAATAATGATAATAATAATGATAATATCAATTACTCGGTGTTTTTTAAAAATATTATTTAGTTGCTCTGAGATTTTGTATCTCTGAGTACTTGTACGTTTTAATCATATTGAGGGGAAGTGCAAATAATTTCACCTATGCGAAAATTACGACCTTCCTAGTGATTTTAGTCTATGCACACACTAACGTCAATTCGTTTAGCCATAACTTTGTAAATTAAACGAATTGTTTTCTAGCAATGATTTTTAAATGTTCAAAAAATTGCTGTAAAATTTTAATTCGATAGTCCACTCAACTAATTATTTTTTGTATATTCTATGTTTTTATAACTTTATGACAAACTTTTATTTATTATGAAAATATTGTACGAAGATACTCGGATTTTACTTTCTTTAAGCAGAAGACCAGTTTTTTGCATTAGGATTTACTTAATTTATTTGACAACCCTCCTACAAAATGAAAAATATATTCCTGTTCAACGGAAAATTGGCAATTGTTTTTGGCAATTGAAATTTTTTCAACTATCCTTTTTTCAAGAGGAGAAACAATTTTCCAAAAGTACTGTTAATAAACAATTTTGGTGGTGTGCGAAAGACTTCAGTGACTATACATTACAGAGTGACTTTTGTGCTTATGATTTAGTTGCATACTGTCTGTGAACATTTGTGTTGTGAGGATTTTGATTGTGTATCGTAGAAAAATTTGGAAAAACCGCAAGTATTTTCTGTTTAGTTGGTGTTTCTTGATGTGTTTTTCATGACTAATTGTGTTTTGTGGAGTTTTTGAGTTGATATTTGGCATAACTGTTTCGTTAAATCGGTGTCGTTTTGTGTTAGAACGCGAATGTTCGTGTAGAGTGTTGTCTCAACATAGCTGGCCAATCCCGTGCCTCCTTTCTCCTTGAACCGGAAGTCCAGAAGACCGATATTTTGAAGAACCTTTCCGAGGCACCTAATGCTTTCGCTTTGACTATGTTCGAAGATGAGTCTTTCTCTTGGCGGCATCTCGGCCGGAGAGTGATGTAATTTAAGAGGTAAATATGAAAAGAAGTAAGTATCAGTCAGTTGGTACCCTTGCGTAGGAGGCACACACGAGGTAAGATAACACGAGTAGTGCCTTCCGCCCCGTGAAGCTGCATGTGCTTGTATGTATTTCGTCTTTTTGAAGGTGAGTTTTTGTAAAATAGATTAATTTCGGTTTTATTTTAACTATTTTGATGAATTCAGGGAAACAAAAAATTAAAATATTTGATACTTTATCAGGCAATAATATTTTCCAAAACTTTCGTGTTTTGATATAAAATGCATCTGCGATCAAAAATTTAAATAATGTAAATCTATTTCATTCGCAGAAAATTTTGTATTGTAAAAGTTAAGTGCAGGTGTTTTTAAGCTCTAAGTAAATCATTTGGAGACCAAAATCATTCGTAAAGCAACATTGAAGAGACAAGAAATTTCAATGGCCGTTCAAATTATCTGAAAATGTATGTAGTATTGTTTTTATTCTAAAGTATTAGCAATGGGAAGTGATGAAATTAGTAACAAGTTAGATAATAAAATATGAATATAAACCATTTCATTGTTTTATCTCAATATTTGTCTGCCTTTATTACTTAATAGTTCAAAATGAGAGAACGTTTTTAGGTAACTGTTCTCTTAAGCTTGCATTTTTTGTAAAGCTTTTTAAAATAATATTAAATATATTTTGAACTAAGTTTATGTTTATTACGTGAACAACTGCATTTTACTTTTTCAATTGTTGATATTTTTTCATTGTTCATTGCTAACCATTGCTTTTAGTGCAATTATTCTAACTATTAATTCCTATCAAAATTCGATATTTTTATTTTTTAATATAAAAAGAGCATTTAATTCTACTAATTTCCAACAGCACACTTGTATTCAGAATATAATTTACATACAAAGTATATACAAATATTTACGATGGTTGCAGAATGCTTAAGATTAGAAAGCTTTTCCTAGCTTTGTAATTAATTATATTTTGCTATTATTAATCTATTTTACTTAATATTTGGAATTTTTATATGTAATTAATACGGCATTATGTATAAATTAAACTATTTTGCGACATCAAATGGGATTCGTAAAAGAAAAAGTAGATAGATATACGAAGTATTTTATCAAACAAGCTGAATAAGTTAATGCGTATCGTGCACGCGTTAGTAGGGAATCATAAGTACCGCTGCAGAAACCTGTCGAAAACAGAGCCGTGTAAAAGAAGTCGAATGATAAATAGTGGGGCCATATTCGCGTTCAGTTTTGCACCTCCCAAGTACATCCGCACATCGAAGGCGCTCTTATACGCTCATTTTACCCGTTCGGGAGTACCGCGTCCTGTGCTCAGAGACTTTTTCTTCGAGTCATCTCTACCCGCGAGGTTGTAGTTCCAAACTTTCTCATTTATCCGGGCGGGTAAAATAATGCAAGTAATTCCTTGAGTCCCCGAGGTGTGTAAAGCTCCTCGCCGTGCGCGAGAGACGAGATTTCATAAGCCCACAACAGTGGGGAAATAGTACTGACTTAACCGTACTATTTTACTCGTTCGGGTAAAAATCAACGTCCGTAACTACAACTCAATGAGTAAAACCGTTAAGAACTAAATGCATCACCTCCTGATTTTCATGTTCACGATTTTATCTTTAAAGTCTGCTCTGTTCAAAGTAACTTCCGTTATCGGACAAATAGAGACACGCTCGCGCTGTTAGATGCGTCTCTCACCCTTTAATAATAGTAGTGCCGGTGGAGCGGGGGTGGCAGTCTCACAATCGCCAACCCGAGTGCAAGAGGCTGTGGAGTCGCATGTACGAAACTGAACGTCAGTGGGCGCCTTTGTGACATGGTTACAAATGAGTCTCACATAAAAGTACTTTCATTTTCCTTGCTTTCAAAATAAAATCAGGAACCGACGGTCCTTTTTAATGAGTTTTACCCCCGAATTCTTATTGCATAGGCTCGTACTTGTCCGGACGGGTAAAACTGCCACGTATGTGCAAGTAACTCTGCGGAACGCGTAAACTGACAGGGAACACGTAAAATCGTTCATAGTCCCGCTACGGCGTGGCTTCCTATCGTTTGCAGTTGGCTAGTTCTGGGATGTGGACAAGTGGGTGGCCGAAAGGGCTGAAGCGCGAAGTTCAGGTCGTGGGGGGAGGCAAAAATCAGTAGGGCTAGAGCGCAGGGGCTAGAGCGCAGGGGCTAGGGCGCAGGGGCTAGGGCGCAG